CCCCCCCCCCCCCCCCCCCCCCCCCCCCCCCCCCCAAGGGTGGCGGTGGCGTCGGCAGAATCCGCATCCACAGTTGCGGAGATCACGCCTTGCGTGGAGACCGAGATCAGTAATTATCGAAACTCGGATGATCAGATCGCCGGTCGAGATTTCCTTCTGGAGAGGTCGTACTAGTTCGGATTCGAGTTGAGTGCGGCATCGGAGAGGATGATGGTGATGGAGCCGGCGATGACGTCGCCATGGCAGTACAGGAGAGGAAGCTTCTGGAGCAAGAGACCATCGTTGTTTGGTTCCCTGAGCAAACCTAGGGTTTTCTCGTTCTGATACTACACAGGGATGAAGTCACCGTTCTTCTGCTGGAGACGGGGTTTCTTCCCACTATCGGAGTCGAGCGCGAGATTCTCTGCGTCTCACCGAACAAAGTTGATGACGAGCCCGATGTTCATGAGGCCATCATCAGTTTTGGCGGCGGTAGCTTTCTCGTCGAGCATGCTCCAGTACGGCGATCCCGAGGCGCTTCTCTCACAGAGGAGGTTTAACCGAAGATAAAAATGACATTACAAAAATAGAGCAAAAACCAATTTTTTTTTATTCATTAGTGAATTTTGAAATGTGTTTTTGGCTTAATTTTGGGGTGTTTTCGATCAACACCAACAAGCTCTTGCTTTCACAGCCCTTTCTTCTTCTTATTCTTCTTCTTCTTCCTTCTTCTTTGGCGTCTCTATAACTTCGAGGTTTTCCGTTTCTCGATTTTTGAATCTGGGAATTTCCTTTCTAGAGAGATTTGTGCAGAGCTTTGGCGGTGAATGATTTGTTGTCTTCATGATCGATTGGTCACTCATTGACCTATTCATGATCGATATCACTGGCTGAGCTCCAATGGCGATCGCCACCTGAGGAAGCCGCGGCAGGGGAGGAGGTTTTGGTCGAAGATCAGGCTGGAAAAAATAATTGAATAAGATAATAGTAATTAGGGACATTTTCATCTTTTCAGCAAAAACACGGGCCACATGATATCTCACGTGCACTGTGTCGTTACTTTTTGGACGATATCTGACGAAAAGGACTACATTACACCTTTTAAATAGTTTGGGGTTCGTTTCTTTAAAAAAAAAAGTTTGGGCACCAAACTGTCACCTTTTAAAGAGTTAAAAGACCATTCGTGCAATTTACCCTAACAAAAATTGCAAGATATATGGCCTCGTTCATTTCACCAATTTGAATTTTCAGTTTTAGGTTTCTATAGTTAAAAGTTCTCAAAAAATGTTACATGTAACTTTTTTCTACTACAGTTAAAAGTTCTTAAGAAATGTCACATCTCAGCTCGAATTAGAAACTCAAATACGTAAAGCGAACGAGACCTACAATCTTCCCCAACCTAATCACAAACAATTATTGTAACACCTCGAGGAATTAAACGAGATTAATTAAGGTAATTAAGATTTATTAGTGTGCATAATATGGTTTAATTAATTTATTATTGATTAATAAATGTTTCTGACGTATAAATTTAAATAATTTTAAGGCATTTAAATATTTTTAGTAATTACATTTTCACCCCAGAGTGTGTGTAGACACATTTTCTGGACTGTCTTTTAATTTTGTGACACCTGTCTTTTCCTTTTTCTTTTTCTTTTCTTTTCCATCCTTTTCTTTTTCTTGTCGTGCATCCTCACTCTCTCTCTCTTCTCTCTCATTCTCACTCTCGTTCTCTCACACGCTCTCTCCTGTTTTTGCTTCAAATCAACCGGATTTCGAACCAAAGAAGAATTTCAAGAAGTTTTCAACGTCAAGAGAAGGATTTGAGGTAAGATTTCTGAAAAATCCTCTCTTGAATCTCAGATTTGTTTATTAGAAAACCTATTTTTAGTTCGAGATAGATTTTCATGGATTTTGAGTAAAATCATGATAGAAATTTGGGATTTTTGGTTCTTTGGACTGTACTTGTCATTTTGAACCTGGATATGATGATTTCCCTTTGAAAAATCTCGTATTAAACTTAGATTTGCAGGTTTTCAGACTGATTTGGTAAGTTTTCTCGCATTCCTGTTCTCCATCGGTCGACCTATGCGGTCGACCGGATTGCACTCCATCAGGTTGACCTGTGCGGTCGACCGAAATGCACACCATCGGTCGATCGGTGGTGTTGCATTGCTCTGTCACCGGTCGACTGGTGTACACAGGGTTTGACCCTGTTTTGCTTGAAAATGTTATTTTGACCTCGGTTTTTGAAGAGAACCCAAATTAGCTTCATTTGGGGACCTAAAGTGAATGGATTAGCATATTTAATCCATGTTTTGGAATCAAACCCTTGGAATGATGATTTGAAACATGAAATGGTTTGTGAAACCGGTAATTGAATTATGGCACACTAATAGAAAATCAACGGGTATAATTGAGATTGAAATTGCTTTAGGAAAGAGAATTGGATCCTAAAGTGTTGTTTTGTATCAGTGCTAGCCGAGGACTCGGATTGAGGGACTTTGAGGAAGTGGAAGCCGAATAGTGCAACGCTAGCCACATGTTTGGTATTTGAGAGGTAGGATTTCTTACCATTTTCTTTGTGAGCCTGTTTTCAAAAGAATTTTGGCATTGCAAATGTTTTAAAGAAAGGACATGTTTGCGAAAGAAAAACATTTGAAAACCATAGCTTGATTATAGCTATTGGAATTATAATGAACTATTTCAGAAAGTTAATGAATGATTTTTTAAGATAAGAGATCTTGCGAATTGGTAAACCGGCTAATAGCCTAGATAGGATATGGAGAGTGTATCCTTGGGGGTAGAACCCGAAACCCGGTCCGGGGATGATAAGGCTTGCGCTTGTGGTTGTGTAAGTAATTTATCATAGTATAAATAACTTGCTGATGCCTGCAATATAGAGATTTTCAGTTATATTACATTTTAGAAAAAAAAGATATGAGGTTCCGGCTGTTGTGGTGGAACTGAATGTCTTATTTACTTATTCATTTATTTAGTTACTTGCTTACTCATTTATTTATTTGTTTATAAAGTTATTTCAAAATACATCCTACTGGGCCTTTCGCTCACGTTTTATTGTTTTATAAATATTAAACCCCTCCTAGGCGACTCTAGGAGCAGTGCAGAGTAGCTGAGTTAGTTGCTATCGTCCGATTAAGAGAGGATTGCGTTCATCATCCTTGTGCATAACTTTGGATTTCTGGACTGTGGTTGATGTCTATAATGTTGTTTACATGGTCATGTATGTACAATGCTGCATATCCTGTGGGTGAAGCCCTGAACGATTTGGAAAGTAGGGCAGGCCCGTAACTTTCTTGTAATTTATTTTCAGCTAAATAGTGGGGCTCGTTTGGAAATTTCTTAAAATATTTTACTTTTGATCCTGATTATTATAATTTCAAATGCTTAATCCCGTTTAACTCCTAAACAAGCCTCCAAGTCACTAACCCCGGCTTCGGGGCATGACAATTATATCCCAATTTTTCTCTCTCTCTCTTTCCCCTTCTCTTACCAAAAAGACGTTGACAACCACTACAATTAAAGAGGTTAACTCATCACCTGTAACATTAAAAACTAAAATTTTGAGACCTCATTTGGTAACATTTTAATTTTTAACTTTTTGTGAACAAAAAAACAATATCTTTGTTTTTTCATTATCTCAAACAAAAAAATGTATGGTTTTTAAAATTAAAAATTTTAAATGTTTAGTAACTATGACGTACCATATTTTTTTAAAACAAAAAACAAAACCAATAACATTGTTGAATGACAAGCCAGGTTGTCTAAGGTCGGGTCGACAAGCTGGGATCAACGTGGGGCTTCAACCGATAGGTTGGGATGGGTGTTGCGGGTGGGTAGACGAGATGAGAAATACGCAAAAGCCAAGTCAACTGTCTAGAATCAATGTTAGGGTTGAACTGAAGAGCCATGTTTAGTGTCGAGGGTTAGATCGTGATCAATGTTGAGGTTTGACCAATGGGCTAGGACCCGACCAGTCCCTAGTGTAAAACCTTGTTTGTTGGTTTAAGCCCTTACGCCAATTCCGGTTAGGCTCAGCTCTAATCTCAATTTACGAATGACAATGTCAAAAAGTTTTGTTCAAAATAAATTTGAAAATAAATTTTTATTTTCTTAATTTACAAAACAAAATTATGACCAATTTTGAGAAAAAAAGTAAGCATGCTAAAGAGAGAAAGTTAGAGAGAGGTGATCTGCAACAAGCTCGGAGGATGAGTTCTTTGGGGTAGGTGATCTGACTATTCGTCGGGCTGCTAGCCTCCATAGTTTGTTGGAGAGATAGCAGAGGTCACCGACAACGGGTTCATGCCAACAGAAGTTTGGATAGTCACTGGAATGGAGTTGTTCAAAAGGAAGCAGTTTTTGGTCTTCTACCTTAGATATAGGACGCATTCGCCACATAATTCTGTTGAAACTCCATGAACTAGATTGTGGAAGGGGGTGAGGATGGTCGTCCAGAGCGTGTGACGATCGCTGCTCGTTGGCTGCCGCCGTATTTCTGCTCTTTTGTCGTCGTTTTAGGAGCTTTTCTCTGGTGTCACTCCTATAG